CACATTATGCTCTCTCACACACATACAAAGACCCAGATCAAGATGAACGTTTCTGTCCTTGAAGATTCGCTCGCACCCTTCCCCAGTTACGGCCATAACTCCTTCTTGGAGGCGAAATCACGTTTCTGATGTGTGTAAGTTTTTCAGTGCAGGTGTAGTCATGTGGTCTGTAGGCCTTTCCTCGCCGTCACTCTGTGACATCCCTACCTGCCACTCTGTGCAGCGTTAGTTGCTGTTTTCAGTTGTTGTCATGTGGTGTCCCGGCATTTAGATAGACAACAATTTGTAGTAGACATTTTTATTTGTGTTGTTTTGGTTAATTATGAATAAAATGTTCATCATTCAGGAGGTGCTGGATGTAGCTAATTCTGTTTTTAAATTACATTTCCTCAATGAGGAGTCATTGAGTCATTTGACGTCTACTTTGTAAGGGCTTTGGCCATTTGGATCTCCCTTCTCCCTTTCTCTCTCGCTCTCTCTTTCTCTCTCTCTGTGCATATGTGTGTGTGTGCATGTATGCCATGCGTATGTAAGTATGGAGGCCAGAAGAGAGCATTGGATCCTGTGGAGCTGGAGTTAAAGACAGTCGAGAGCTGCCTGACACAGGTGCTATGAACCAAGCTGAAGTCGTCTGAAGAACAGCACACTCCCTTAACTGCTGAGCCAACTCTCCAGCCTTTAGATATACAATTTTTAAGACGTGACTATTAAGATTTTTGTTGTTAAGTTTATCCCTGTTTGTCAGTATTCTTCACATATCTGGAATATGAGTCTTGTTGGAAATATATATTAAAATATTTCTTTAACTTTCATTCTCAAGTTTTTGATTTGTGATTTTTTTTTTTTTTTGAAACAGGGACTCACATAGCACAGGCTGGCCTTGAAGTCACTGAAGGTGACTTTGAACTGGTTCTTCTGCCTCTCTGTCCCCCGTGTGTGCTCCATTGTGTCTGATTTATGCAGCTCAGAACCTCATACATCTAGGCACCCTCCCAACTCAGCTGTACTCTTGGCTTCTGCCTTTTCATTCTTGTAATAGTGGCTTTTCTTAGTTGTCTCTTCTTTATTTTGGTGAGGTCTAACTTAACAGTACTCATTTTCTTTATGATGGCTCCTTTAAACATGGTTTGAAATTATATCATTACATCATTTTCTCCTTTCCTTTTCCTCCCTCCAGCCCCTTTCATGTACCCCCTCCCCCATTTCATGACCTCTTTTTCTGTAGTTGTTACACACACACACAGACACATATATTTCTTAAATATATAAATACAATCTGCTCAGTCCATAAAATGTTACTTGTGTGCATATGATTGGGGCCCTGCACGATTTACCCCTTTAGTGTTGACGTGTTTGTTGGTGCTGTCCTTGTTCAGGGCTTGTTTAGGTGGCCATGCTGGTGAGACTTCATGCGTGTAGCTTCCCTGAAAATTTTAGGGGCCACAATCTCACAGCAGAAACTTTTTGCTAACAGCACCTGTTTTTTTTCTGTATTTTAAAAAAAATCATTGCCTTTCCTTCACTTGACTGTCTCGAGGGGAAGCGACGTGAAGGACTGCTGCTGTGGAAGTCATGCCAATCACGTGTGTGACTGCCTTCTGAGGGAGAGCCTTGGCAGATGCTTGTGGGAAGAAGAATATGAAGCATTTCGGGTTTGCAGAGCCATTTATCATTCTGTCACATCTGATTCCAGGCAGGAGCTCTTTATGGAGCTGCGGGGATTCTTGGTCAGTTTGGATGCCGGAGGGATTGGTAGTACACACAGGTTCCCCGGGGGCTCTGGTGCCTCCACGTTTGGCTGGCATCACTTATCAGGGTTAGGAGTTGGACTGTGGTCATGGACTAGCCCTGTAACTTGCTGGCTGCCCTCAGGGACACAATTCTTAGTTCTCAGTCTTGGTTTTCGTGTCTTTTCAATGGGAGTGATGAGAATGTACTTACCTCTTGCCTAGGCATGAGGTATAGACAAATTACGAGTGCTTAGCACAGCAGGCAACAACACCAGGCTGGGCTAAACTGTTGTTCTTATGGCCCAGTTCTTCTGGATCACGGTGTAGTATAGAACCAGGAAGAGCTCAGTCCTATACCTCATTTCTCTGTCAAGGTTTTCTGTCATACTTTTCCCTTCATGTCCCCCCTCTCTTCTCCCTCACTCCCTCATTTTTGCTGTGAAAAACTGACGCACATCCCAAGCACGAACTAGTTAGACATGTTGTCAGAGGTTGAAAGAGTTGCAAAGTTTGAAAGTTTACTGATAGGAAAGTGTCACGTGATGGAAGGTTTTTCTTGTTTTATTTTGTTTGGAGATAGGTTACTAATCTAAGGGACTTGAGAAAGTAACTATGAGACGTTATCATTTGATTTCAAAATAAAGCTGACCCTTTTATCTTGGCTTCTTACGAATGTCACATGTAGAATTTACATTAGTATTTCTAATATAATAAAGGAAAATTATGAGTATTTCTACCTAAGAAGTATAGTTCTTTATCTGGATGTACATACGTGAAGCTGAGAAAATTGTTTGAATTTGGGGAATCGAATTATAACTAAATGTGTTATATCCTCTTTATTCACCATCTCTCTCCCATGGTGTAGCCCTCTATGCAAAGGTGGCAAGACCACATGTGGAAAATAGTTTGTATTTTGATCTGTGTTTTTGAAGTAAAAACAAGTCATGTTGACTTCCCTGGTTACAAAGGCCCAGTGGCCCTCCCTTTACAGCCTCGGAGTCTTTTCTGAACTTCCTCTTGGTGGCTTTGGGTGGAAATATCACGCCATAGGCCACGAAGTTTACGTGACATCTGCGGTACCTCTGCACCCTTGGTGTTTGGGCCGCTCTTGTGGTGTAAATTGTTTCCTTGCAGGGAAGGCATTGGAGGTGTGTTGGCTGCTTGACTCCCAGTGGAGAGAGGAGGGTGTTAGTACCACAGGGCAGGGGGACCCAGAAGGACAAGGGTGGGGAGGGACAAGGGTGTGGGCCTTAGGCATAGCCACATACAAGATCATCAGGAGAGTTGCTTTAACTCTTGGTTTCCCAGGCCCTGCCTGGAAGTTCAGCTTCAGTAGGATGGGCCTGGCCTGGGATCTACATTTTCTTTTTAAAGATAGATTGCTGGACTAAGCGGGTAGTACCAGCAAACAAACCAAAACAAACAAAGCAAGTACAGCAGCCCCCAGAGGAGGAAAGCCAGGGCCTTGAGGACTTTGTAGCTTCCTAGGGTAGAGGTTTCACAGCATGGTGTGCTTGGATGGGAAAGGTGGAAAGGGAACATCAAAGCTGCCCTGCCTCCAGGCCACAGGCTAGGTTCTGTGGAGCCACAGCTACATGGGGAGTCTGGCACAAATGGGCTGCTGGAGAGAAAAGGTCTGAGACTAAGGAGGGAGAAGCCCAGCAGATGCTTGGGGAGAGGTCTGTCTTTTACTCACTCCTCTTTTAGAGTGCTGGTACCTAGTGTGACTTTAAGGAATCACCTCATTCTCAGGAATTAGTGTCTTTAATCCTCAACCCCCACCTATTTTAACCCTCATATTCCTACCCTTCCTATCTGCCTCTGCCTTTTTTGCTTGTGGGGACATTTCCTCTCCTATTCCTCTTTTTTCCCCCCAGCTCCTCCCACCTCGGTCTCCTGGAATTCCCTACCTTTGGACTTCCACTGTTACAGCTCTGCAGAGTATAGTGTGGACGGCACTGAGGGATGGTGGGTGAAAAGACACAACCGTGTGTTTAAACATCTGGAGGTGCATCCTATTGATTGAACAGATGATGGGGATCGGCATGACTGTACCGGGTGGTTTAGTACCACACTGAATGCATGTGGGTACAGAGGGCAATTGGACCTTAGTTCTTGATCAGTTGATCTCTCTGTGTCTTTCAGGATTTCTCAAATTTTAAAGATGAGGGTCTAAAAGAGCTATTCTTAAACTATATTTTTAATTTATTGTTTGAGGAATTTATACATGTACACAATGTGTTTTGATCAAACTCACCCTTGTACCTTCCCCTACCCTGGGCCCTTTCATAGCCCCTCTCCCCCAACTACTTTTCTCTGACAAGTTACTGTATGCATTTTAATCCCACTGGGTACTGTCATTGTGTGCATGGTGTAGGACTGACCATTAGAACACAGGCAGTCTACAGGGGCCTCATCATGTGGGCTGCATGGGTGGGACTCCTTCCAGGAGCCATCAGCTGTCCAAACTCCTTAACTAGAGGTGGGATCTTTTGGTGGTATGAGTTTTGAGCATTTCTGTGTTCTTTATCAGTTTGATAGACATTACATTGTTTCAACAGAATGCACATGTGTTTGGAGGGGAAAAGTTTTGTGGGTATGGTGGACCAATACCTTCAGGAGTGTGTGGCATTTCATTGCCCAGGCTGTCTGTGAAGAAGTGCCATTTGTAAAGCAGGTGGGGTTGATGCTGTGTGGACTGTCCTGAGGGCTTATGCTCATTGTGGAGAGCACGTAGATTTCAATGAGAGCATGGAAAGTGAACACCTGTGCAGCACTCAGCTCTTGGCATGTGTGCAGTCATGAAAACTTACATACATTCAATCTAATTGTAATTGCCCAGCCAAGTCACTTCATAAAATTTGGTGACAAAGACAGTTTAGAAGCATTGGATTTGATACCAAGGAATATGAAGTATTCAAAACGGATATGTCTCTTTTTATCCAGAGTTAACTCAGTTCACTTTAGGAAATACTTGCTGCATTTCCTCTTTAAGTAAAACTCCCTGTTAAGAAAATGGGTTACAGACCAAGGAGCAAAGCAGCTCTAACGGGACCAGAGAGTTAATAATTTATGTCCTCTGCCTCTCTCTCCTGTCCCTCCGAGAGAGACGGGCATACTGCAAAGGACGTGTGGAGCTGGCTGTGCCTCTCCTAGTGCAGTTGGCCTCAGCCTCTCGCTCTGATAAGCAGGTTTTTCTCCAATGTTCCCTTTTGCTAGTGTGTCTTGTGTGGCACTGGGGTCATGTCTATGTCTTTCCTTTCTCTGTAGGCCAGGGGTTATCACCATGCAGGCGTTGTCGGAAGAGGACCGTAGGCTCTGGATGGAAGCCATGGATGGCCGGGAACCTGTAAGTAACAATTCAGGGAAGTGGAACAATAAAGACCCTGAGTGGTGTGCTGCCTCCCCACTGAGAGGTTTTTGCTATTGCTCTAAAGCATTGAGTCTTTGAAACCAACCTCCCAGGGGCATTTTTTTTTTTTATTTGTGGATTGATGTTTGTAGATACTGCAGTTGCTTCTGTGTGTATGTAATTCTTAAGTTTTGGTCTGGACTCCTAAGATAGAAGTTCTGTGTGATGGTACAGCACCCATTATAGACACAGGTGTATGGTTTAGAAGAGGCAGAGCAGTCTGGATTGCTGGATGGATATTGACTATATGCTACCTTCACAAAGTGGGCTGTAAAGCATGAACCCAGCTGTTTGTAACGGGATATACGGTTGTAAAAGCATACATAGGCGACACGGCATTTTATCATTGTCATCAGATTAGGTTTTCCATTGCTATGGTGATTCACTTCTCATGGTAAGCAGCGGGACATTATCAGGGTAGATGGAAGCAGTTAAGCCTGGCGACGTGATCTGTGCTCCCATTTCAGAGATGCTGGCCTCAGCAGGGTTTTGTGATCTTGTGGTTGTTATGCAACATGTGACATGTAAAACCCATCTGAGAGCCCTGGGGTAAGTCCCAGAACAGTCCATTTTATCTTGATGTTGAGAATCTCAACTACAGTTTTACAATATTAAGGTCACAAAAAATCCTAAGAGCAAAGTGTAACTGTTTCATCATAAAAGATAAAAATGTTCTACATATGTAAAGGCATGATCCAAAGGGGGAAATGTGTGCCTGATAAGGCAGATCTTAGCTACTCTTGCTTAGAGAACACTGTGCATCAAGCCTTTGCCCCTTGCAGATGATCTCAGTTTATTTGTACCTCTTTCCTAGCTTTGTGGTGGGATGATCTGGCAGTATGGAGGAATGTGCTGTTCTCCCAGCTTTATTGTATAAACACAGGACTTAATCTAGTCAACAAAGCACAAGCAATAACTAGTGTTTTTATAACTTTTAGTAATATATATCCATATTAAGTAACCACTTAAAGATGAGGCAAAGTTGGATAAACTATAATGAAACAACTGTTTAATCTAAATTCTATTCTTGGGCCAAAATATAAGATAATCTCAATTTTTCCTATATGCATTGTTATCCATAGAAATACCCCCAAAGCAGATGCACCTTTATCCCTGTAGGATGTCATAGTAAGAACTACCATATCCTCAAAAGGAGCTTCTTGGAACCTTCATCTTTGCTGGCATCTTCCACCATCAACTGAACACTGTGTGTTACAGGATTTAATAATTTAAATTCTACTTATTTTTTTTACTATATAACAAAATAGGTGTTGTGATTTTTATAGATGAGAAAATAGATTGAGAGGGATTAAATAACTCACTGCAAGCTTCACAGATGATAGGTGACTATCTTCGTAGAGCACAGGCCCGGATGCTATACATTGAAGAAACTTGACGTGTAGAAGCACATGTGGATGGAAGCTCACACCCAGCGTGGTTGCTCTGCTGCCCAGACCCATGGTTTCCTGGGTTGTTCTGTCATTGCCCAGGCCCAGCTTGAAATGGAGTTGGAAGCATCCAGGCAAAGCGTTGTGAAGTACTCAGAGGTCACTAGCTTCTTCCTTTAGTAGACATGAAATGGCCATATCTGTCCTCAGAAGAGAACGGAGAAATCCAGATGCACATAGGCAGCCATTCCTCCTGCCAGTCAGCACCCAGAGCACTTCAAGGAATAAGAGGAGAGATGATGCTGTGAATGTCTGGCAGTCTCCGCTATGGTGGCGTAGCTGAAGTCTATCCATAAATAAATTTAGGTTTCATCTCTAATATAGATATATTTTCAGACTAAGGATTTATGCCTAGTTATTTTTGCAGTACTTACTTTCTCTGGCTCACTTGAATGACTCCCCAAACTCAGAATAGGTAGTCCCTGGGGTGATAATTCCCATCATTGCATGATATTCTTGCAATGAATTAAATAATACCAAAACCAAAATAAAGCAACAACAAAAACACATTCCTTGTTACCCCAAGCTCAACTTCTAATATTGCCTCACCACCATTTTAAGCCTCCTCTTCTACCAGCCCCCAAACTTGGTACTTGTTCTGATCCTGCGTGCAATTGGTCCCTTACTAGCCCCTTCAGTCTTGCCATAGGGTAACACCTGTCCTGTCCAGATGGGAAATGTCATCTTGAACAAGCATATTTTTTTTGCTCCAGAATGTACACATTAACAGCAAGTCTAAACACAAGGTAATTCTGTCTCTAAACATCCTATAAACCTGTGGCCTCAGAGGAACGTCTAACTTGGGTTGAGACTATGCCTCTGTGTGCTTTTCAGTGTCCTAAAGGGAAAGATAAATACAGACAAATGAGGACTGCATAACTGACAGTAACATGAGGTGTAATTTTGTCTCCCACTGCTGAGAGCATAGTAGACAATTAGCAGCTCCATTTTAATCACCTCCTCCCTAATTTGTTAAATATGACCCCTTGGGAGTTTTGGCTTTGTCTAGTTGGCTTTTCCTCAAGCTGATCTTAGAGAAATTCCCTAATATTTGGGGAAATATTCTTACATTAGATATAAATTTGGGCACCTGCTGACCAAAATATTATTTGGTATTAGAATGTTTTGGAGGTGGTGCTGGGGAATTTTCTTTTCTTTTCTTTTTGCTCTCTCATTGTTCAGTAACATTTTAGGATGACTGGGGAGAAACATCTAAATAAACTCAACTTACTTGATTTTGTAACCTGATGATCGTTACATAAACCACAGTTGTTAGCCTATAGTCACGCTCTATCCTAAAGACATGTTGAATATTTCATGCTGCTGATGGGCATGTGCTAGAGGAAGTAATTGAAGCTGTATTTCAACATTAAACATTACGATTTTATCCACAGATCAATGAAAATTTTCAATTCAAATGAAGGGGGCACAGTTCAAACTTGCCTGAGATAAACCGTGTTTGTTAGGTGGTGTAACTGAAAATACTACAGTGTAGGATTTTTTGACCCGTTTGAACCAGTCACATAATGTTTGGAGTTGCCTTTTTTTCCCCCCTGGCTTTATTTTCTAGTCTTTCCATCTGCAGTAAGAGACTTTCTAACTATTCCAGGCTTATCTTATATCAGGCATATATCATCATCATCACCACCACCACCATCATCATCTTCATTTTCTGAGATAGTTATGTTGGAAAAAGAATGTAAAATTGCCATATTTTCATATAACATGATTAGCTATGTAGGAAATGCCAAGTAGTTTGAACAAAAACTGAACTAAACACCCAAATAAGTACTCAGGAGTAAATGGTAAACTCTCCAGGATAAGCAGGATATGAGTTTCTTTCCCCACCCATTGTCATGCTTCTATAACCTAGCAATAAGCAAATAGTATCCAAAGCTAAAAACACAACGTAATCACTAAGCCCTAAATAACACTCAGGCACAGATCTAATAAGTGCTGAGACTGTCGGTGGAAGAGGAGCTGAGTAGACCGAGAGACTCCTGCATCCGCAGATCAGAGGGTTCGGCTTGTAAAATTTGCTCTCTCCAAATCGATCGTAGGTTTAGTGCAATTCCTATCAAGACTGCCACAAATTTTCTTTACAGTTTATGTATAAAGGTACAGAAACCAGAGAGTTGAAGCAATTTTGGAAAAAGAATGAAGTGGGAGTAATTATTCTACTCTATTTTAAGACTTCTTTTATAGCAACAATAATCAAGGCATTGTATTGACAGAGGACAGACACCTGGATCAATGGAACAGAACAAAAAACCCAGAAATAGATTCATATACCCAATTAAATTTAGACAGACGTGCAAAAGCAATTTAATGAAGGAAAAGGAGTTCTTCTTCTTCTTTTTTTTAAACAAAAACAAAACCAGAAACAAATGGTACTTTTTAAAAGAAATAGACACCATGGGCAAAATCAGAAATCTCTACTTAAGTCTCATATTTTACATAAGAATTAATTAAAAGTGAATCATAGATTTATGTATGAAGTGTAAAATTATGTGTTGGCATACAAAAGAGTTCCAAAATAGCCTGGAATGGAATATAACAAAGGCTTATTTATTAGGGGATAAACTCACAGAATTAATAGTGATCCACATACAGTTCTCTGCATATGCTGGGAACTGGAACTGAATCCAGCAGCCAAGATGCCCGCTCATGCTTTTTGTCTGCATTTATAGTACTTGAGACCCTGCCCAAAGTGGGCTGGTATCTTAAAGGTGATTGCCTGAAGGAGTTTCTACAGCAACTCTAAGACTTTTAGATGACAAAAATTATTTTAATGTGGGGTTATGTTAATTTTTCATCACAAAACCAAAATATGGCCATAAAATTTAGGGGGAAAAAGAGGATCTTTTTTCTTCATGAAATTTAAAACATTTGCTTTTGTATATACAAGATCATGTTGAGAAGAAGAAAAGAGACTCTCAAGAGTGGATGGAAATGTTTTTGGTCAGTTTTCTGATAAAGGACCTACTCTTAAAACAGTTAAACACCCAATTAGAATATAGATAAAAAAACAAGGAGCCATTTTAAAATGGAGTTTAGGGGCTGAAGAAAAGGTTCAACAGTAAGGAGCACCCCCTGCCCTTTCAGAGGGTGGGAATTTGGTTCCTAGCACCCATTATAAGCGGCTCACAACTGCTCAGAACTCTAGCTTTGGGCATCTGATACCCTCTTCTGGCCTTTATAGACATTGGAATTACACATGCACACACATGAATAAAAACAACAACAAAAAAGCCCTCTTAAAATGAAATTATAACATAAAAGCACACAAAAAGATATTCCATATCATCAGTCAGTAGCAAAATACAAATTAAAATCACAGTGTGTGGAAGTCATTACAGAAAACCACAACCAATCAAAATGCAGAGTTTTATGGAGCTCAGTCCCAATGGAACATCTACAATACAATCCCTGACTCTAAGGCTCAGACAGCATTGCAAAGAGTGGGTGGAAAGATTGTGGGAGTCAGAG